AGCCGCTGGGCCCTGTTTGGGCGCCCCCCGCTCTGCTCCGAGCCCGCCCCGGCGGCTTATGGGGCTCGTTTCCAGTGCGGAGTTGGGGTTTTTTGTTTGTTTTCATTTTGTCCTCGGCTCCGCGGAAGGCAGGGGTCCGTTCCCTTCTCGCAGCAGCTGCTCCAGCTCCGTCACATTTTAAAACCGTGTCCCGTTTTTATGCTTAAGTAGGTCTGTGCTTCCGTCGCGTACCTGCTGTGTCTCTCGGAGCAGCCTGAGCGGGGCAGCCGGCGTCGCCCGTGTCTCTCCGGTGACCCGAAAGCCGGTGATACGTTACAGCAGCGCTGTGCTCCCCGCGGGGCTTCGGGGCAAAACTGCTCGATTTGTTGGGGAAAAATGGGTCTCTTCCAGGTTCCTAGAAGTCTGGGAGTTGCAGCATAGATAAACAGAAGTTGTTCGGCCGGTTTCCACTAGAGTGGATTAAAAAAAAAAAAAGATAAAAGAGTTTGAGATCTGCCTGATGACTCCATCGGTAGTCTGTGGTGCTGTAAAAGGTTCATGCTATTTCATTGAAAGGGATTTAATGGAATAAAAACATCAGAAGGGTCACAAAAGCCATGATTTTTTAACTTCCAAGTGAAAGTAAAAATCTGTTTGTTATGCACTAAACAGCACTCATGAAGTTACTGTTACAAGGACCATTTCATAGTGACTTGGCATTTAACTCCTAAGCACATGTGCTTTTGCAGTTGCTGTGGTCTATGTAGTGCCTGCTTGCTATTTGGATTTTAATAAATTTTGTATCTATTACCTCCAGATAAATGCTGCAGGAAAGATGGTACTTTGGTCAGTAAGGTTCCATCTTTAGATTTAATACACAGAGAGAAGAAGATGAAATTATTATTATATACTAGGTTTGGATGACAAAGCTAGATGTAAAAAACAGTCTGATGATATTTTCAGCTGAGTATGTCTATGATTCAGCAGTGCTGGAGTAAAGAAATCTGGATCAGTGAGATCCTGGGGGGAGGGCTGCTATAGGAAAAAAAAAAAGGAAAGAATTGTGCATTTATGGTAACTGAAGCAAAATTGGATGTATCACATGTCCCTGTAAAGCAGTGCGATGAAAAGTAGTTGTTCTCGTACAAGAATATGAATCTGAAGGATGTTTGCAAGAGACGCATGTGGTGATATGACAAACGCTATGCATCCAGGTATCTGTGTTGTGCTATAGTTTTTGGTGATTATGGTAGAGTAAAATTTAAAGGAAAATGTGAGGTGAAGGTTTTAACTCTATACCATTGAAATATTGTATTTTCTCAATTTATTTGTCTGTGCTAAGCTGCAGAGTAACGATATTTCTATTGCTTTTCAGCTATGAGAAACCTCCCCCAGGGCTAATTAAGGTTGGTAAATATATTGCAGTAAATTTTTTAGCATTATGAGGGATTTTCACACAACATGTCTTAGACGTTTATCTTAAGTGTCTGTTACCTATATAAATTACAGAGAGAAGTAGGTGCTTCCAGGGAAAAACTCAGAGCTCCTCAGTTACAAGACAACCTCTTTGACTTGGTGAATCCAGAGTGAAATGCCCAGAATCAGATAGGATGATACCAGTTCTTTCATCATCTCTTAGCACACACACTTAATGAGGTATTTAATAGTGTGGATAGAGCAGAGTCGTTTATGGTGAAGCAGATTTTCAGTTTGAGTGACATCTTTTCAGGATTCTTCTCCATTGCTTATGCTCAAATATTTGTGTAAAAATACTTTCCTTTCATAGTGATCATTACTTTTGCCAAATTTATATACCTAAGCCATAATCTAGTGCTTTTAACCTAAAAAATACTGCTCTGTGTTGTAAAGGCTATTTTTAAGTGTTATGTCTTGTTAGCAGGAAGAGGAAAAAGAATTCTCTGCTTGTCTGTTAGGTTTTAATTTACATAATTTATTTAAATAAATTACTAAAAAAAAATGGGAAGGAATGGAATTAATATGGCAATAAATTCCAAACTGGAAAATTCAAGCATGAGGGAAAAAGAAAATTACTTAATGCTGTTAAAAGGATAAGGTATTTTAGATCTTTTATGTGTTACAAGAAAAAAAATGTTCCAGGGAAAATAAGTTCCATATTAAGTGAAGGCCTGCACATTTGGAGTATTAATTTCTACAAAGTTAAACAAAAATTTGTGATTTTATTGTCCTTACCTTTTTCCATAGGAGAATGAAACAAAACCAGAAGACTGCATACCTGATGTACCAGGCAATGAAAGTGCACGAGAATTCCTGGCACATGCCCCGACCAAAGGGCTTTGGATGCCTTTGGGAAAAGAAGTCAAAGTCATGCAGTGTAAGGCTGGAAATATTCCAGGTGTCATTGGACCTTCGTATTGCCATCGGTTTACTCTGGGGGAGGGCAGAATGGCTGGTGGATAGATGACACGGTCCAGGTAGATTGGCATCATACTGATATCAAAGCAACCAGACTGTAATAGCCTTGCATTTTATGGACATTTATCAACATAATACTTGTATCTCTCTATTCCAACAAATTTAAAATACAGTTTTGAGTTTTGTTTTTCTTCTGATCTGGCTCAGAGGTGCAATTCACTGCTGCTTCTTTTTTTTTAAAGGTTGGAGGTGTAAACGTTATGGACACAGAACAGGAGATAAAGAATGCCCATTCTTTATTAAAGGCAATCAGAAATTGGAACAATTTAGAGTAGTGAGTACAAATACTGTAGTATCATTGCTTGTGTTTTTGATATTGATGATGCATAATCTTGCAAGTGAAGAGAAGCCTGTTAGATGATGCTCTATTAAGGACTTTTCCTCTGTCTCTAGTATAATATAGATGCCGAAAATCTCCTAATAAAGAGAAAGCTACAGATGTGGTTGGATGTTTGACTACTTTGCAGAAAATCTACTCTTCAAGAGGAAAATTAGTAATATTTACATTTAAATTGGAAATCTTCAAGAACCTGTTTCAACCATTATATTCAGTCCACCTTTACAGCATAAGTTTTTGTGATAAAATGTCAACGTAACAAAAAATGTTTAGTCAAGCTTGAGCTGCCCACATGACAGCTGCTTCAAGCCTTCCACTCTGACTGTGAACAACCACATCATGAAGCCTGTTGTCTAGGTCTGTAATCCAGTCATTGTCTACAAGTCTGATCTCTTGCTACATGAGGCTACATCTCAGTTTCGCAGATTCTTTCTGCCTGACCTCTTTAACATTTCGTGTTGCTCTGCATTGTTAAACTATATTTCAAGCTCTCATCGCTTTGTGTCTTATGTCCTCATTTCTTTCCTTGAAAAATGCAATCTGGACTTATTCTGTCTAATCAGAATGCTGCTGCAAAGAGTATTTTTAGTCCGCTCCCATGACCAGATTGCCTCTATTCTTCATTTTTCCTCTCACTTCTTCTCTGTTGCATCAAACTCTTGCTGTATGTCCAGGGCCCTTCATGGTGCATTCCCAACATGTTTCTTTTGCTGCTGACATTTTAATTCCCACCTCCGGTCAGCACCTGATATCTCCTCTCTGTTGAGCTTGTTTGCTTAATCTTCCAACAGAAATGATTACCCCATCTTTTTGCTGCATTCTTGCGCAGCATGAACTCACCTTAAATATCTGCAAAGTTTATTTGCTATCTTCTTTCACAACAATCTTTTGCTGCAATGCCTGTTTAATTTAAAAATAACTGATTTAAGAACCAATAACAGTAGTGCATAGCATATCAGGACAACTCCAACTTCGTTATCCATTTGTCTTCTATTCCTTGCTTCTATATTCCTGTGTGTTTGTATCCAAGTTTTTAAAGTGTGCTATAAGGGCACAGCTCATTATTTTGAACTTCAATATTCCTTCTATGTCTACCTATTCCTATAGTATATGTATGGAGTTCTCTTAGTTAACTGTGATTGGAGAGGGAGGGAGGTAGTGTACCTGAGCAGAGTCCCCTTCATTGGTAATGTGACTAGATAAGCTTTTCCTAAAGTAACAGAAAAAAAGCCAAAACCAGTTCAGATTTACGATGTTAAGTCTGAGAGTATACTTGTAAATTAAGAGCTTGCTAAATGCATTTCATCTTTTGATAAAAGCCTCTTGCATTGGGTTGTTTTGGTTTATTTTTTTTTAAGAAATACAACAGTCAGTGATAAATACTTCCCTTTACCAACATTGGATTTTCTGCTTTCCACTTTAAAGGCACATGAAGATCCAATGTACGATATAATAAGGGAAAATAAACGTCACGAAAAAGAAATGAGGTAAGTGTGTTTCTATAGCAAACTGCATTTTCAATTTGGTTTTAATTTTGATAACATGATACTAATGTATAGGTGAACTTTTGATATAAGCTACCCTTACCAACTCAGAACTTTTTTTTTAATGGCAGTTTCTTTATGTTGACAGAGACTAATGCATTTCTGCTTTCTTAATAATCACTCAGTAGTACTTCCTACTTCTTTAACTCTATTAGCTTCTTTATTTTTTTCCCAAAACAAAGTTTAAAGAGGAGTCATATTAATTTATGCTGTAATATTCAGGTACTTGAGTTACTTTAGACAAAAAAAAAAGTGTGATTTTTTTGTTTTTCTGTCACTGAATTCACTGACATGTTTTCTAAAATTTGGTACAGCAAAGTGCCTTCAGTAGACATGAAGGGTTGGATTTAGAGAGCTAGTTCTAGGCACTCGTTCCTCATGTGAGGGCGTTATTCAATACATAAAGCAGCAGAGGTTTTAATGCTTGCTTACTTGAACTGCAGCGGTGAGATAACTGAACAAACTATAGGTACCCCAGAAAGCAGTACTGCTGCTGTGGGTGTGTTGTTTTTGGGTTGTTGGGGTTGTTTTTAAATCCTTGGAGAGGATACTGAAGACAACAATAAAATAAGCAAGGAGTCTGTCCTCGTTTGCCAGTAATCCATTAAAGTTCAAAGAAAGAGTGCCTGTCAAAAGTACCTCTGCATCTAAAGTAGAATCTACTCTGTCAGCTTCACTGACATCATCTCTGTATCAGCAGGGCAATGAATTTCATAGTATCATAATCCCAGTGTGCATCTGTGTATGGAGAAGCATAGAACTTCTTGTGGCGGTCTGGTGATAGCTGTTGCCTCATTATTTTGCACACATAAATATTGGCTGATAAGCTAGTCTGGTTTTGATATCCTGTGGGATGGAAAGTCCCTGAGAACTGAACGTCTGCTTGTCTCAAAAGAGGTTGCTTGTATCAGTCTGTGAAAACTGTAGTGGGAGTGTAATTCAGCAAAAGAGGAAGTGTTCCCCCCTGCCCTTTGCATGCAGCTTCCGTTTCTCAATCTAGGAAGGAAACAGGTGAAAGCTAGAATAAATTACTACAGGTAGAGGGGAGCTAGAAAGGATTCTCATTCACATTTTTTTAAACTCAGGATACAGCAACTGAAGCAGCTCCTGGAGGACTCTACCTCAGAAGATGATGATGATAACAGTGATGACAGTGATGAGGAGGATGATGAAGATGGCAGCAGCTCCACTTCTTCAGAATGTAGAGATAAACACAAGAAAAAAAAGAGAAAGAAGGAAAAGAAAAAAAAAGAAAAGAAGAAGAAGAAAAAGAGAAAGCGTAAATCATCTAAATCTAATGAGAAGTCAGAATCTGACTGATGGCAGTCACCTGCTGCACACTTACTGACCCCTACTTGTGAACTGCAAGGAAAGATCCAAAGAATGAGGAAGAAACCACCAGAAAGGGCTTTATTAAACTCAGAACATACAGATGGATACATACAGCATCCTACACTGGCTGTCCTTTTCTGCCCCTTTGCAGTGCTGCAGCCAGAAAGAGAGCTGCATTAAACAGTACTCCATCAACTATATTTTCATACTGTAAAACCTGTACTAAGGGTCATCTGTCTTGGTCAAATTGGGCCTCTGCGTTCCCACACGTGACTATCAGCAGAAAGCAGTGGCTACCATGGTATTGCCATCAAATCTGCAGAATTCAGCAGATTGTCTATTGAAGTGTCTTTTCTCCATGAAGTTGTTTTGTTTTATACAATGCCTCATTGTAAGGGGACTGCAGTTTGCACCAAAAAACACTGGCAGTTCACTTACTATGCTTATAAGAAGCAGGTTGTACTGTGTTTTTTTTTCCTCAGCATAGTGCCTGTGTGCTGAAGTTCATTGTACTTATGCTAGTACTGGCAGCTAGGGAAATAAAGAGCACTGCTGAAGGGGGAAAAATGTTAATCAAGGGGATTTACTTTGAGAAAACTGCAGTGTCAGCAAGACTTGGGGTGGGGGGTTTTTTTTGTGTAGCAAAATCTCGACATCGTTGCCATTAATATGCCCAGTTCTGCAATACCTAAAGTGTTCTCCAAACCATAGGAGTGGGAGCCAAGTGTAATGATGTTCAACTTTATTGTAAAGAGGTAGTGGTTTTAATTATTTTAAAAAGGAGGTTTTCATGTTAGAAATGAAAAAGATTAATTTCTACATACACTTCAGTATCAGTTGTTTTGATGCATTTGAGGTTTTTTTCCTTTTTAAAAAGGCTTGGGGAAGTAAACTCCAACTTATGTTTACTAGAATTTTTATATATTAATGTTTTTATGAATCATCCCACAAGAATATAAATGAGCAAGGCTTTCAACTACGTGCATGTAAGCCACAGAACAGTAGTAAAGAACTTGTAAGCAGGAAGAAGGACAAGTTTTATGTACTTAATTCACCTTGTGGACTGACCACACTTTTCCTTTAAATGATCTTGCAAGGCAGACCTGACTAGAAAGATTGAGATAGCTATAAACTTCATCAGAGTAAGCATCTAATTTTAAAACATCAAGGTACAGCAGTACAAAGCTGTGATTCAGGACCTTGATGGTATGTATTGGTACTCTGCAAAAGGAGAAAGAAAAATAGATTTGCTTTGAAAGGACTAGGAAGGACTTAGATGTACTTATGCTTATATTGAAAAAAAAAAAAGCATGATGAAACTCTAAACAGTACAGTGAGCATTAACAGTAAAATCAAGGAACCATAGACTGAAATGCATTTGAGACTTTTTTCTTCTCCTGAGAACTTTGGAAAAGAGGACAGGGATAAAAAAAGCATACATTAAAATGTGTTTCCTCCCTCCTACATGTTTAAGAGTCATTTAGTGAAAATAAACCCCCATTCCTTGCCCATCATTCATAATATGTTCTGGGGAAAACCAAGGTAGTCAAGATCTACTTATAAAAAGATTCTTTTTCTTATTCCCAGAGCTTGAACATGGAATTGTGTTTTATCCTCCAGTATTATTTAGCAGATTTCCCTGCAATGGCATTTACTGGTGACTCCTGATAGTTCCATGTATCAGCATCATCACATTCAAAGCTCCTTACTCTTTCACAAGAAAAAGATTTAACAGCTGAAATAGCATGAGGAAATTTATAATAGCCTAGTTCTCTGCATTGCCACATCTGGTGCTGAGAAAATCCTTGCATATGTAGCATTGGTGATCATTGGACTGATGCTGGAAGCCACAGCTAGTATTCACCTGATGCATCCTAAGGGAATTCTCATCAAGTTTGTCTAAAGCTGAGCTAACCTAAAAATCTCTCCAGTTACTTTAGCTTTTGTCATTTAAGATTCTTCTGAAGTTTAGTTCAGTAAAAACAAACTCAGTTTTCCCTTAGTCTATCATCCCATTCCTTGTTAATGGATCCTTCCTGTTTTACCTACCAGGGTTTACTGTTTGAAAAGTCAAGAAAAATTAGTGTAAGAGACCATTCTTTCTCTAACTTTATATCAAATGCAATTTAAAATTTTACTTTGAGATACCAAATCACTGTTTTGTACCAGACTAAAGGTCTGTTTAACCCAATATCTTTTTCTATTCGTGGTCAATAGTGGATGCCTACATAGAGCAGTGCAAACTCTAGCATTACTTCCATTATTTCACCAAAATGCTGTTTCAGTCTCTACTGGTTGTAGTGCAGGTACTTTGAATCATAAGTTATATTTTAGTATTTAGTAGCCTTGGATTTTTTTTTTTTTACATCCAGTCACTTTTTGTAAACTTTGCAGTTTTCTTCAGCAAGGAACTCTGGAGGTTAATTAATAATTAGTGAAGAAACATCATTTGCTTTCAAACTGCTCCCTACTAGTTTCATTTCATAATCCTAATTCTTGTAATGGAAGGCATGTGAACAACTGATTCCTATCAATTTTCCCCATATCGTTCCCAGTTTTATAAATCTCTATCATATCCCATACATAAAGATTTTATTAGGTCTTTACTGAGACTCATAAAAGTAGAGCCAATTTCAAAATTAAAGCTATCAGTTTCAACAGAATAAGATTTCTAGTAGTGCTGACTGGCAGGCAGTGCTAGAGTGCTGAGAAGTGTGATTCATTTCATCATTTAACATGTTAAACAGTACCAAAGCTGGCATTTAAGAGACTCTAGGTCTTTTGGAGATGTGTAGGCTAGAGATAAATACCAACATCCATTTATATGAATGGAAGATGATTCCATGTAGAAGTTAATCCAGAAAGCAGGATAGAAAGCTATAGTCTTGAAAGACTGATTAGCCTTATTTTTAGAATCTTAACCATTGGACTATTTAATGCTTTTGTTCAAACAGCCAAAGTTTTTTTTCTAGCAATCTTTGCAGACATGTCTGTTTCCATTTGAAAGTTCTGTTGAAGCCTGACTGGTAGTAATAGCAGAATTGTATAGTCCCATCAATCTAAGTAAGTGTGAAACGCAGCTACGCCATACCTCACAGGCAATACAGCTTCACAGGCCTTCAGCTCCCAGGTCTGGTTATCTTAATACTGTGAACCATTCTTGTCAGAAAGATTATTTCACCAGAAATACTGAAATCTGTCTTGCTTTGGCCATTAAATTATTTGGGGTTTGTAGTCTTGTCGACTGAGATAGCCAGTGATAGTGAGTCAGGGGAATCTGAGGACTCAAACAGCACATTTGTTTTCGCTTGGTATGCCTGCGGTTAGCATGCAATGAGTGGGGTTTTTTTTTCCATTGGCTCCTGTCTTTCATCATTTGATTTTAATAAAGACCTGTAATCTTTTCCAACATAAGGCAGAAAACAGGACATTGTAAAAGGGAAAATTTTATGCCACCCAGGTGCTAGCAAATTGAAAATTAAAATATAGAATTAAAACCTGACAAGCCAACTTAACCCACTGGCTCCACTTCAGTGATTACACCATGCCCATTTTGCAACAGAGGTTTTAGTCAGCTACAAATAATGATTTAGAAATTGAGTCACAGACTGTAAGTCTGTCCAAAGAAAGAACCCTGTATGGCAGTCTGAGAGGCCTCTAAGGTTTGTCACTGGTGTGCCAAGCAGCAAATAGATTCTTCAGCTGCCCTTCAGTAGATGCTGCAGAAAGCATGTGAAAACTTCAAAGGCAGTGCAGTACTGCTACAGTTACAGACTCATAGTACTGCCAGCACTGCAGTTACTCATCACTGGGCAATCCAGCTTCAGCAGTAACAAAAGTTGACACGTATGTCCATCTGTAACAAATCTCAAATATCACTGTAGCTAGTTACCTGGCTGAATAAGAAGAGCCTGGACTTCAATTCATAGCCTTTTAAAGTTCAGTTTGTACTTCATAACCTTTCTGAACATTAAGTACAGTTGTAAGCAGCTGACTTAAGATGCAGTCCACAAATCATCCATGCTACTGAGTGAAGCAAAAGCCACATAGAAGATTTAGTTTTAAAATCACAAGACTAGCACCATCACAGTAGATTAGACCACATAACATTATGCAAGAATTATTTCTTGAGCACTAGAACATTCATGCATGCTACTTTAAGCATTGGTACACCAAGATTTTAAACAGTTAATTTAAACACTCCTCCTGCTCCCTCACATATTCTTGGGAGCTAGCATCACAAGGCCCTAAATTCTTATTTACGTCTGGGTAGAAAACACATTAACTAGTGCAAGACCTGTGAAAGGATGACTAGCATGATCTTGGGAGTACATGTGAAATATTAGCCACTCCCAAAAATATCCTAGAGTGCCATCTAACTGTGAGGTCATGAATATTCCTCTATCAGACAAGTAACAAAAGACAAACAGTTAAGTGTCAGCAGAATTAGGTTAGTATTCAACCCCAAAGCTGCATTCAAGTTCAGGAAAAAGTCAATCCTTACCTAAGAATTGTCAGTTATAGCTGAGAATTACTCTTAGGTCATCACTTACAGTCTTCAAATTGAAGAGATTCTACCACACATTCTCCCCATCAGAAGAAAGTGTATCCCCCCCTAAGAGCAGCACATTTCTGTATTAAATATCCAAGAGCAACAGTCCTGTATTTTCCAGAATATTAAAAAGCTCCATGCTTGAAATAATTCCCTCCCTCATTTTATTCTTTGAGGTTCTGACACAACAGATGTTTTGTGCAGCACAAAACCCAAAGCAGAATTTGTATTTCTTATTTTCTGGCAGTGCTTCAGGTAGAGAAGAAATAAAACCTTGGCACCACATTGTTAAAGTGGATCCTTTCCCCTGACAGCTTGGGGTAAAGGCTATAATTACAGTAGCTCTTTAACAAGAAAGCAAGTGCTGTTAGAAAAAAAATCCAGGATCAGTTGGGTAGGGCAACCTCAATAGACCTCATGGAAGGAAAACAGCATAACCTCAGTTACAGGTCAAACTAGTAATAGGTAGGCACACAACTTTAAAGTAGCATTTCCTGTGACTGCATTCATCCATGCAGGTTACTCTAGGGCACAGACAGAATAAGAGCATTGGGAGAAGAGGTAGAAGACAAGTCCTGACTGTCCATTTCCCCTCAACTTTATTAAAGAAAAACTGGTTTGATGTTTTTTGGTTTTGTGTTTGTTTTTTTTTTTTTTTCAGTTCCCCTACCCTTTTCATTCACACTATCACTTTATTTGGGAATTGTCCAAG